TTGGATACTTGAAATCGGCATAAAAATCAGAGAGGGATAATTCTGGTCAATTTTACTGTAGACAGATATAAATCTATGTTTTAATAAAAAAATCTATATTTTATATCTATGTAGACAGATATAAAAGACAAGGAAGTAAGAAAAGAATGAATTTTTATATTTTCATAAAATTATTCGTTTATCATCGATATTGAGAGTGACATATCTCAAAAACTAAAAGGGATTTTCTAGAAAATAGATGAGTATATAGTACAACTTGTATACTTCAGACTAGTACAAGAAGTAGAAATGGACCCGCTTTAGTTAGTTAAATTTTAATCTAAGAAGTTGGCAGAATATCGGTTGACGCATCTCTAGAAAAAAACATCAAATTTTGATAAATTTTGACATCAATGCCACCGAATACCCATTAATTCTTAATAACCCGACCCTTATTGTAGTTTCGGCCTTCTGCTATTTTCTGGTTTTTGTACTTTTGGCCTATACAAAAAACTGAAAAAATGAAACGCTTTTCAAACAATCCTACGTCTTGCATGCGTTGCATTTTATTCCAGTCTTTCAGTTTTTTGTATAGATCTTACGTTCGATTTTCTCTCTTTTATTGGTGCTTTTGTTTTGCTTTGCTTGTGTTTTGTTATTTTACGTTAAACGTTAAATGTAATTTATACTTGTTCTAACTGGTCTAGTGTATTGCTTTGCTTCTTCTTTTGTTCTTGTTTAATTTTTGTTCGTTTTCGTTTTACGGATATTTGCGCCTCTTTAATATAATATTCCTATAAATACTTACTTTTAAATCAACACTATCCTGTTTTAGTAAGCTGAAGTCAATAAGTAGAGCCATCTATTCCTCGACCATTCAGTACGTAATACCGTTTAACCAATAATTTCTTTTTCCTGTTCTGTTATATATATACGTATATACACGCACTCTTCACTAGGGATATGCTTAGTCTTTAGAAATACCAAAGTTTTTTTATTTCAGTCTTTTCTGCAATATTTTTAACTTAATCTACTGGCGCCAAACAAATTTTCACTTGCAGTCATTTTAATAAACGTTCGCCTAAGTCTTATTCTGGCCATACCGGCCTGGAGCCATTGCTGAATACCACTAAGGAGTTTTGGTTTTGAGGTACGACGAGGAAGTAAGTTTGAAACTATAGGTTAAATTACTTTTAATAAGAACCAAAACGCTCGACGAGCGGAGTAATTTCTTTATTCTTACCTTGCTTTTGAACTTTTTTCAAAAATTCTTCCACCATTCCGAAGCTCAGAGTCTCAGTAGTCAAATGAGAAAAAGAATTTTCAGTTTATCATTGGAATGAGGGAGATCTTAGCTCCTTCTTATCCTAGGTGTATTTAGAATTAAAGCCATTTAGTATATAAAGCAGAATGTATTATACTACTAAGATCTCCCTCATTTGAAATGATAAACCGAAAATTCTTTTTCTCATTCGATCACTGAGACTCTCAGCTACGCAATGGTAAAAAACTTTTTCGAAAAAGTACAGAAATAAGCTAAGGATAAAGAAATTACTACGCTCGTCGAACGTTTCTGTGCTTATTAAAAGTAATCACCATCTGGAGAGAAGTTTTATTTTCACTTCTATTTGGACTGATGATTCATTGAAGATATGAAAGAAAAGAGTAGTGATGGACCGTCGAGTGGTCGTTAGTATCAGACCTGTTGCAAGGTGAAGGAGAAAGAGAAGAATATTCAAGCTTGTATGATATTCAATTCAATTCATTCAATTCTTAATATATTCTTCTCTTTCTCTTTCTCCTTCTCCTTCTCCCTCATCTTGCAACAGGTCTAATGATAGATAGCGAAAGGAAAGCAAAGAATAAAAATTACGGTATCGCTATAGTCTTATTCCTTGCATGGCATTTCGCTGTATTCGAATATAAGGAATCTAGCAAATAAGGAGATATCTTTTCTCGCACATGTAAGATATTCGTAGACAAATGTGTCAAATGTTTGTTTCTTTCTACTCTCTTTCTCGCTTTCACTGTGTGACGAACGTGGAAAGATCAGTTCAGCATTGTTTTCATTCACCGTTTTATTCTTGCAACGTTTTTTTGAGCGTAGTATTTTCTTCATCCTGATCTTATTCTTGAACTTTTTTCACCATTGTGTAGCTGAGTCTCAGCAATCGAATGGAACCAAAAAGTTTTAGTTTACCATTCCAGATGGGTGAGTTCTGGCTTTGTAATACACTACACTTCATTTCTGTTCTCATTAAATACCGGATTTATTTAGAATAGAAACACTTAATATGAAACACTGGTAAACTAAAAATTTTTGGTTTCATTCGATTCCTGAAACTCTCAGGTACACAATAGTGAAAAAAATTTTAAAAAAAGTTCAAGAATAAGATCAGGATGAAGAAAATAGTACTATTTTTGTTCTATTTTAAACCAACTACTCTACGATAAACGAATGAAAGATATCTCGACGATATGACAGACAGTCCGTTGTCACTTGCTTGATCGGGCAATATTGCCTGAACAGGCAACTTGACCGTTCGGACAAGGTCTGATCTCGGGCCCATTAGATGATCATCAGTTATCTAATGGGCGGGAAGTATTCATTCTACTCCTCGTGCATTGATTATATACCGCATATTAAAGTTAAATCTTCAACCTTCTTTCTCTTTTATGGCAAAGACGAATAGCAAACATAGCTCAGTTTTGCGCAATTTACCTTGCCCGATTTAGCAATATTGCTCGTTCAGGCCAGATTCGCGCCATAGCTTTGATTTACGCGCTAATCCGTTGAAAGAAAAAAATATGGAAATTTTGCCGAAACGGGTAAGATACTACTTGCTTGATCGGGCGAAAATGAGACTTCTTGCCTGATCGAGCAAGACATATTGCCCATTTCGGCCGTAAACGCTTAAAAGATGCTTCTTCCCCACTCTGGCAAAATACCCACCTCTCCACTGTGAGTAAGCATCATTTTACGCAGTTTTTGACACGCTTTCAAGTGGAATAAGTCTCTTTATGCATTATCCCTTTTATTTTTGCGCTGATACGGTGTGAGAAAAAAATGTGAAAATCTGGCCGAAAGGAGCAAGATACTCCTGGCCCGATAAGGCCATATTGTCCGATTGGGCCAGAAAGCGTGACTGACAGAAAGGAAAAGAAAGATGTGCCCTTTCGTATCTAAGCACATCCATATCTATCTGTCGTATCTAAGCATATCTATTCTTTTCCCTTGTGTCACATCTCTGTTCGGCGGTGCAGCATCGTATCTTTGCTGAAATAGATTAAAGTGACTGTAGTGATAAACGGAGACGATGAAACCCAAATCAAAATGACCTTCGCTTGTGTTTTCATCAAATTTCCTGTCGAAGAAAAGTCACTGTTTCAACCTGATTGGGGAGTGAGAAACGTAACTCGAAGTCACAGATTCATCTACATAGGAATAGAATCAAGCAGAGTCACATTTATAACTTGACTTTTCGGCGCATTGTTTAAAAAAGCGTTGCAAGAATACAATGGTGAATCAAAACAACGCTGAACTGATTTTTCCACGTTCTTCACACAGTGAAAGCGAGAAAGAGAACAAAGATTATTTCTTGTGTGTCTATTTTTGCCTCTCTTTCTATGTCAAATGTGTGGCAATGTCCACACTATAATGTAACCTGTTTCTGCCTTATATCTAAATTTAGAGCTCACGTAATCAGTAACGAAAGGAAAGGAAAGAAAACGAAATGTTACGTAAGAGACGAGAAAAACAAAATGGCTGCTTAACGTCTAAACGAAATCTGACATTCTTAACGTAAGACACAAATTAACGTTAAGTATTACAGGACAAATGATTACGCTAAAGAAATGAAATAGTATAAAGTGAACAGGAGGAAAATACATCGCCTTGTCTATAGTAGTGTACGATCATGCGGCATGATATTCATGCCTAGGCTAAGTATGTATCAGTGTAATGAAGCTCATTATGAAAATATACTGTTCATAAAAAATCCTATTTCACTGTTAATCTATGTATATTGTTGTATAATATTTTTATGATTAATATAGAAAAACACGGTTACAGTGAACTGAAGATCTTCAGTTCACTTGAACTAGTCATCTGTATGTGTAAGTAACCACATATATATGTCATTGTCCAGTTTTTTTCCTTTTTTATTTTATCCTTTCTTCGGAACCTGTTTCCAAAAAGACTTTTTTAAAAAATCTTTTTGGAAACAGGTCCAGCCTCGTTCAAAGAGCGTCTTATGAGTAGTACCAAAATATACCATATATAAATGTATTATATATACTTAGGTTAACTTGTTCATTTTCACCAGAAAAACTTTTCAAAAACCAAACTATTTGCAAATAGTCCAGATCGATCAAGAATCGAATTCGGATGAAAATGAGACCGGTGTGAGAGTTTTGCGACTTCTTGGCCATGAGAAATTCGCAAACTCCCAGGAAATAAAAAAATGCAAATTCAGTTTCTCCATTTAATTTCAATTCAATGTTTTTACCATTCAAAAAAGCATGCTATCTTGAAGAACTGATCGACATGTATCGACTGGTGTATTTTTTGAATCACGGTAGGAAGGTTAGAGCAAGATAGAAAAGTACTCTTTCCTTGCGCAGCTCTGGAGTGAACATATATACATTGCCTTGTTTAGGTCAATATAGAGAGAGAATAAAATAAAAGAAAAAAAAAGAGTAACAACAATATTTTTGATATTTATCATTGTCCGGTGATCGAGCATGAATTTTAATACTGAACAGTCCAGTCACATACTATTCTTCTTGCTTTTTTTCTTTGACCACTTCGACTTTACCACACTGTCAATCATTCTTACTACGATTTTTTTTCTGCAGTTATGATTGCCAAAATTACCTTCTAAACAATCAAAAAAGTCATTAAACTCTGATTACCACGTTCAGACAGCAAGACAAAAATCAGTAGGTACGTAACGATTAAGGTGATTTGATACTCTATCAAAGGCAGATAAAAATGATTTATTTTCAGCACCCTCACAAACATGTCAGACATTCCAGTGATCAGCTTTAGAGACTTCGAAAACCGCAAGCAGGAGATCGGTAATCAATTGATCTATGCCGCAGAAAATATTGGTTTCTTCACAGTCTGCGATCAGGCGTATCCTTCCGTAGACGACATCAAGCAACAATTTTCTCTTAGCGAACAATTTTTTGCACAAGATGACAATGTGAAATCTCAAACTCCCTTTATAAAGGACAAAAATTCTGGCTGGGAAAAAATGGCACAAGTACGCCCTTCGACAGGCACACCGGATCAAAAGGAATCACTACAACTTCAGCAACATACAAAAGGGCAGAATTGGCCAACAACCATCAACGGTTTTGAGGACAAGACCGAAAAATTTATGATCAACAGTCGAAAACTATCAATGCAAATTCTATCATTTTTTGCATTAGCATTGGGTTTCGAAGAAGATTTTTTTGACAGAGCACACAATGTAACCAAAGAGGATGCACAATCGACTCTAAGGTTGCTGTATTATCCCGATATTACCGGAATACAATTACCCAAGGGTTACTGGCGAGCTGGTCCACACACTGATTTCGATGTTTTGACACTGCTTTTCCAACATGATGGTGGTGAAGGTCTGGAAATCTGTCCTGGTCGTAAAGTACAAACTTCTTTTGCAATTGGAGATGAATGGACGCCAGTTCCTGCAAAGACGGGTCATATCGTTTGTAACATTGGAGATATGCTGATGTCCTGGTCGGACGATCGATTCAAGTCGAATTTTCATCGAGTTCGTGCTCCGGATCTCGGTCAGAACCAACAGACGAGAATGAGCATAGCGTATTTCAATCAGGTAAATAAGAATGTGATTATCCAAGGACCTTTGAAGAAATACCCTGCTTTGACTGGCGGTGATTATATTTTGCAAGCCATTGCGAGAAATTTTAGTTCTTTTAAATAGATTTATACATAACTAGTTCGGAATAAAAAACATTGTCAAGGATTGTTACCTCAGCTTAATACATAGATCAGAAAGCAGGTGGGTAAATCCATATGAAACCAACCACAATGCACAAACGTTCTTAATTAATAATTCTTCCTATTAAAATGATGTATAAGGATTGTTCATACAGTATTTTGTTCAGTTTTTTACTGGCTATCTTTTCATATCAAGGTTTGTGTGAAACATATGCTAGATTTTTCAAAACTGTTATTTTTTCTAACAAGGACGTCCTCTGATGGAATCTCAAAATAATCAATGTTGAAAACGTATTTTGAGCTTATTTTCCATAAGAAAAATTGGTCAATGTGTGCAAATGTCTTTTCGACAAAAGTCCAGTCAAAATATGGCAGAAAAGTGAGGGGCCATTTTCTGATCTAGTACGCCATCCTCCTTTAGGGGGGTTCGTAATGTGGTTCGATGAAAACCGCCTTATCTGGAAAACTTGTGAACGGCAATAGTTAGACACTTGAAACAAAAATGAAAAAGTGCTCTATTGTGTTTCAAATCAGTTCTGAAAATATGGTCTAAGCGAGTTTTAGTTTTTATTTCACAGCATTTCTACGGACAGCCCAAAAAGAGGTCGGGGACACCCTTGAGCAGACAACCAAACTTGATTTCATCATGTGCACGAAGAAAAGCTTGAGTAAATCATGATGAAATCAAGAAAAACTTCCATATGGCTTCAGTTTTTCGTAAAAAGGAGATCCATAATAGAACGAGAATATCCAAAAACCTGCAAGAAAACTTTCTTTCCAGCAAAAAAGCATGAAGTAAAGTAATAATAGATGTCACCCCAAATCATACACAGAGAGCCCAACAAATTCTTTCAAGTACACGGTATGATGTTTTAATGCCTCCTCTCGAGAAATATGAATACCTAATTGACTTGAAACACAGATTTTATCCAATATTATCACAACACAGCGTATCAATAAGTTAACCAGCATCATCCGGAAAACTGCAAACTGTAGAGGACCACAAAAGGTCTTGATTCTCACTGAATAATTGAGTTTAACAATTCAAGAGGAACGTTCACAGCCGAAAGTTAGAGATAAAGTGTTTTCTGATAATAAAACCTTTTCCGGTCGTACAAAAGAGAAAAGAATCTTAAACCAAAAGTGAAAAATGTGATTTTCACATTAAATGCAGATAGAACATTTCAAGATTGTTTCTTTCTGTTGTTCTTATAATCCAACTATTTTACATGAAATTATTATGTGCTCAGGGAGATGAATAATTGCACAAAAAAATCAGTTAGAATTATTTGTGTGCAGTACACTATTTTATAAAGACTGTTGATCCAGCTGGTAGGAAACTGTTTTTTTTTATAATGGATTTCATATGGGATAAAAGATAAAAGATAAAAGAACACTGTCGGAATTTTATGCTAGAAGTATTAAAGTTATTTGCGTGTAATATAGAGAAATATTAATTGCCTATATCATACTAATTATAAAAAACATACAGATGGTAGTCGAAATAAAACGACAAAAAATTCAAATCATTTTATGTAATTCGGACGGTGAAATACCAGCATCCGATAACAATTTACTAAATGCTGATTTTGGATTTGATGCTAACACTATTGGTTTGTCATATTCGACTTGACGACCATGTGAAAGAACAAGAATTCTAAATACGAAATTAAAAATATTTTTGATCATAAATTACACTTTATTTGATTGTAATATTCAAAATAAATACCTTGTACTATCTAATATTGTGTGTAAACGATGTGCAATTGTCAAGACTGTTGCATCTTTAAATGCTGAACGTATTGTTTGCTGTATTAATCGATCTGTTTCCATATCAATAGCAGCAGTAGCTTCATCAAGTACAAATATCTTACTTTTACGTAGAAGAGCACGTGCTAGACACAATAATTGTTTTTCACCAGCACTAAATAATATTAAAAAAAATGAAAAAATATTTTTACTTTTCTACTATAATTTTACCTTAAATTTTCACCGCCTTCCGCCAGTTGATAAGATAAACCATTTTCTAATGTTGATGCACGATTTTTCAAATGAGCTAGTTCTAATACATTCCAAATTTCTTCATCAGTATAAGTTTCGAATGGATCTGAAATATATGCCAATGATGACAGACTATTCAAACATTTACTAGCCTTAGGGCTGATCAAAAATTCTGAGATTGGCAGATAAAAGCCTACAGAATAGAGTTAATCAAGTTTTCACTGCAGAAAATATTCGAGCTCTTAGCCATGATTATCCACACACAATTAATTTCTTTCAAGACATTTGCCAAAATATTTTTTCGAATAATCTTTACTTAAAAAATGTATGGTCCTGGTAACGGCACTCAGTTCAATGATTAGAACCGTTTTAATCAACCGAGTTTATTAATAAGATAGAACAACTGGAAATCACGTAGTACTTGATCCGTAGAATAAGAGGGTATGACAAAATTATGATGGGCTCTGATTCGATATCTTTATCAGTCTACAGTCGGAGGTTGTCATAAGGAAATGTGGTGATCTTTGCTGTCTCATTCCATTGATAAGTGGCTGTAGGCAATTATTGATATGATATTGGCGATTAACTGTCTGCCCTCTTTCCACACATCTTTTTTTCAAGAGAATTCGATCAGTCTTTTTAAAAAAGATACACAACAACGCTTTTGGAGTTAACTTGCTGAGTCGCGTGGAGATTCTTTGCTTGCAATCCAACTAGTTTAATGGCTTTCGCTCCATTTGTTTATGCAAAATCTGGAACTCATTATCTATTACCAAATAATGTAATCACCATATTTCTTTGGTCAATCCTATCCAACAAAATTCAGTCGATTAAAACGGTTCTAACTATTGAATTGAGTGTTGTAACCAAGACCAAGCATTTTTTTAGGTAAAGATTATTCGAAAAAATCTTTTGACAAATGCATTGAAAGGAATTAGTTCTGTGTGGATAATCATGGCTACGAGCTCGAATACTTGTTGTGGTGGAATCTTGATTAACTCTATTCTGTGGGCTTTTATCTGCAAGTCTCAGAACTTTTGGTCAACCCTAAGCAAAACTTACCCAAATTAAAACGTAATGTGCCAGCAAATATAACAGCATCCTAAAATCATAATATCCAACTAGTCTGACTATTCAACTCTGACAATACAACTTCTTACTTGTGGTATAATAGTAATTTTTAATCGAACATCATGTAATCCAATTTGAGTAATATCAATATTATCAATGATAATTTTACCTTGTGTAGGTTCAACCATACGAAATAGAGCAATACAAAGACTTGATTTACCTGAGCCCGTACGACCAATAATTCCAATCTAAAATTGTAATAAATTGTTCTAAAAAACTTTTCTTCTTAATTTTAATTATAGTCTCTTACCTTTTCTCCTGCTTGAACATCAATTGTTAAATCGTTTAAAACAAGTTCAAGACCTTCTCTGTAACGTGTTGATAAATGAACAAATTGAATTTCACCATTAGATGGCCAATTTGAGGGTGGTTTTGAATCTTGAATTTCCCATGGTGCTTCTGTTTCAAGTTGTGAATACTCATTGATACGTTCGACACTAACAATATTAGTTTCAATTTCAGATGTCACACGAACTATAAAATTTAACGATTGGGCAGTCTAAACAAATGAAAAAATGTAAGTTAAAAGCCATACTTCTTCATTTAGAAACATTACTAATAATTCCAGTTTACTCTAAATGATAGATACAAAATCTTATACTCAGTCAATTGTAATTCTCTCTTACTTGCATTGCATACGTTATCGTCAACCCAACAGTTCCTGCTGATAGTTGGTTTCTCATTAACACACCAAATAGACTCGTTAATAATGTCAAAAGATTCGCTATAGCCTCTAAACGGAAAGCTAACCATCTATAAAACGTAAACAAAATAAATTATTAGTTAATAAATCTTAATATCTTTTCCAACAGATATACCTGTTAGTAAGACAACTGGTTAAATAACATGATTGATTTTTGTCTAACAAATAATCGGATAAATTAATGAAACGTTGCTGAACATTGTACGCTCGAATATTTGATAAACCTTGAATAGTTTCACTAAAATTTGAATAGATAGGCGAACGAGTGATCGACTCGAGACGTCGTATTTGGCGAGAGGAAGCAACATAAATACGCTGAAAAAAGAGAAAAATAACGAATCAGTATATCCAGATGAAACAATTCTGAAACTGTATCTGAGAAGTTTAGAGCAAGTACAGTAAAGCCTCTATATGTGAGCTGCCTAATACGCACACCTCCTTATACTGAGCAGTTTGTGGTCCCACGGAACACTTTTTGCTTGAAACTGACCTCTGTAATCTGAGCATCTCCCTATGTTCTTTTCCGGTGCCATAAATGGAAAAAACCGCTCAAATAGGAGCATAATATTTAATGAAAATCAGACTGATAAAAGGATGTACAAATGCATTTTCGCGTTCTACAGAGGATGAGTGCAAATATTGGACATTTGAGTTGAGAAAGGAAGAATAAAGAAGGCTCATACGCATTTGTCTCTCTCTCGTTTTGTACTTGTTTTATCATTTAAAATATTTTCTTTGTCTTCTTCTGGCTTATCTTTTAGCGAAAATATAAGTTAGAAGAAACTGCATCAAACTCTTCAGAAATAATAGAAACGGTCAAAGGAGTACATCTGTGTGCACCAACTCAACCATCTAACTTTCTCAAGCTCGACCATGAGTAGGGACGTTACGAACCCAAACCTAGGTTCGAAGACGTTCGATGTCGAAGTATTCGGCTCTAAATTTAAGTTCGAGTTCAACTTTAAACTAACATTAACACAGATTTAGCAGCAAGGTTGGCTAGACACGGCCCGCAGAACATGCCTGGAGCTTTTTGATACTGTAAGCCTTGAGCGGGTACAATTTCTCACCGTTAAAAAAGTTTCATGGTGCTTTATATATCAGTGTTGCCTCCAGGAGTCAGTGTCTCACACAGGTTGTAACAGTGTGTCATTTTCAAAACATTCTTGGTTGGTCTATGGTGTCAGTCTTAAGATCTTCTACATTTTTGGTGTATCACATATAACAGTCTTATGTCTAACATTTATTTCTTCCGCATAGAGCAGCCGTCTAGTTTTGGAACATTTTTCTTCTTACTTCTTTCTGTCTTACGTAAAAATCGGCATATCTTTTGTGTATTTTCAATTTTATTTTGTTCATAACACATACCAGAACAAAATAAAATTAAAAATAATCGAGATATTTGTACAAACTAGTCATGAACGTTTTTGTGCAAAAAGTATGTCTTGTAAGTGAAGATGCACATATATACTTAGCATACATCTTCACCAGTGAACCTAAGAAGTGGTGCCAAACTACCTGGTCACAGACAAACGTACCTTCTCTCTTTTCCGTCACTATCCTCCGTCAATTCTATCTTCGCTTTTATTTGTAGAATAAAGTGTTTTTCGCGTCAAAGTGAGAGGAAAACATTAATATGTGCAAGCCTGGTGTTTGGGAGCATATATAATAATTCTCTGATTATATAGGTAGCTTTGTTAAGTATTTGATGTCGAACTCGAACTGGAAGGGTCGAACATGTTCGAAGTCGAACCCGTACTTGTTTAAAACGAATCAGAACGTCGAGGTTTGCTCGAACTCGAACTTCAAACACCGAACGTTCGGGTTCATAACGTCCCTAACCATGAGCTTAAATCGAATTAACTAATGTTTACCTTCATCCGAAAGTTGTTGTTCAGAATGAACCAATAAGTTATTTTAAAAAAACTCATTTTAAATTCGAGGAAATATGCTTTTAGAAGGAAAAAGGAAGATGCATCAAATAAATTAGTAAGCAAGGAAAATACAGCATAATGCGTCAGAAAACAGATGAAAAGCTAAACTATGTGTGCGGAAGAGAGAAAAAGTTGGAAACCGCTAGTAAGTGAGCATCTCCATATTCTCTAAACAAAATCGGATCCTTTTAAACCGATAGAAAAGCGTTTTCGGGAACTAAATCATTCGGGAATCAAACTGGGTTTCCCACTCGAAAATGAAACTATATGAAACGGATAAAGATTTTGAACTTTTTCCGGCATTTTCCGATTTTTTCTGCGCACATAATAGAAGACCAGGAGTTAGAACGCCATGGTCTTCTATTTGGCTTTCAAGACATATAATCGGCAGTGGTCTTCTATTATGGAGGGGAGGGTTACTACAAGTTTTTACGTTTATTTTGCTTGTTGATCTTGTGTATATGTACCTGTATAAAGAAGAATAGGATGCTTAATGGTATCAATGCAATGATAGAAAAATAAGAGCCATAGACTAAAATGATCATTGTGACAACAACGGAAACCATTGTAGTTAATGCTGACGAAAGTGAATTGGGCAATGACGAATCAACCGAATCAATATCTCTTGAAAACCGATTGACAATTCGACCAAGAGGAGTCGTATCAAAAAACGACATTGGAGCACGAAGAACGCCGTTTAATATCGCATAATGTAATTTTTTACCAGCCTGATAAGCCGAGAGGCGTGAAAAAAGTTGCATGATAAATGTCAATGAGCCTACAACAGAAAAAACCGTTGGCAGTTACACCAATAAAATATTTTGTTCACAGTTATCAAGCAAAATCACAACTTAGACAAACTAGTTCATGTTAAACAAGCATTACGCATTGATATACTAATAAGAACACTTCACGTAGAACTAAAGCGTGAAAGACAGTTTCAGAGATAAAATCAATAATTTATCTAAAAATTTTTCTTTAGCATCAAATGAACATATAACAGAATGAACACATAACAGAAGACCAGTGGTCTTCTAGGAGTTAGAACATCATCGTCTCCTATTTGACTTTCAAGACATATAATCGGCAGTAGTCTTCAAATACGGGATGGTCTTCTCTTATGGGGGAGGCGGGTTACTATCAAATGAAGAATAATTAGCATAGCTAGAACATAAATTGTAGACATAATGGAATTATGATGCAAATTAAAATGAAACACGATAAAAAACCAATAATTAATTTCACGATAAACGAAATGATTTCATTGTCAATGCGGTCAAATGGAACTATTCATAACAGGTGTCGCATAATAAATGAATCTCTCCATATTTTGACTCTAACTTTTTATCTTCTCAACTTAGACCGAAATTAAGGAAAAGAGTTAAACAAAGAAAACACTACACATATTAAAGAACCAACTTAATTGTGTGTAGTCCCCACCTGAAATTAACAAGTAGGTAAATGCGAATATGGTCCAGTAGTCATATCCCATAAGAAAAAGAAGAACGCGAGCTCAAAAAGTTATGTGTGTTTATCAAGGAACTGGGAAAGCACTGAGTTAACATTAGTAACTTTTTATCTTCTCAACTTACGAGGGAAGTACCCCAACTGATAAATCGCTTTTTCAACGAAACCGAGTGGACTATGGGTAGTCGACGATGCTGATTTCGAATATCATCATGAATGCTGCTGCTAGGCCTTCAAATACCGGTCTTCTGGAAAACCAGTTTTTGAGAAACTCTAAACAACAACCAAACGCTTTCTTAATGAGGCGTCAATATAGTCCATAAATTTCTGACTAAAACGAGGCATCTCCCAGCTCTACACGACCTTTCTTTGCAAAGTTATAGAGTTTACAAGAAAAGCCCTAAATGGTCATTGTCACCTCGGAGCTACAGAAAGAAAAAGGAAAAATGAATTTAGGGCTTTTCTTGTAAACTCTATAACTTTGCGAAGAAGGGTCGTGTAGAGCTGGAAGATGCCTCGTTTTAATCAGATTTATGGGCTACGATTACGCCTCATTAAGAAAGCTTTTGGTTGTTCTTTAGAGCTTCTCAAAAACTGGTTTTCCAGAAGACCGGTATTTGAAGGCCTAGAAGCAGCATTCATGGTGATATTCGGAGTCAGCATCGTCGACTACCTATAGTTCACTCGGTTTCGTTGAAAAAGCGGTTTATCAGTTGGGTACTTCCCTCGATAGACCGAAATTAAGGAAAAGAGTTAAACAAAGAAAACACTTAACAACTCGATAAACAACTTCATTTTCCGGATACTCACCGAGGATAAAATCGGCACAGGGCTCAAAGATTGGCATGATATTCTTTCACCTATCACAAGTGGATAAAGCTTTTCAAGGACTACAAAATACTTGCATTCTTTTATTTTTCTCGTTACTAGTTATTGGAAAAATCTGAAATAACAGCTTTTCGGTTTTGAAAATTGGTCTTTTTATACATGTATATTTAAGGTAGTTCCATCTAGAACTACCTTGGTTTTTAACACAGATAATATTTATTTTTTATTTTATGGGGTTTGTTTTAATGCATGAAATTAAAACCGAAATCATTTTCTGCAGTTAACTCGAAATGATACTCACCTTGAGCAATGCCAAGACTGGAGTAAATAATTAAACCTTTAATTCTTAACCCAGTGTTGTTCTGTTCATTTCCAGCATCGTCTGTCCATTTCGATAACCAAATGTTTGCCGATAAACTAGCAGTAGATGTTAAACAAAAAAAGGCAAATATTAATAGACACATTATTATACCGCAGGCACGAAAATACACGGCAAATACAGTAAATTTAACCTAAAAATAGAAATAGTCTTAATCAAGAGAAAGACCAGAGGAACATAATTACACTGCCAGTTTCTAATTGTTCTTTTTTAATTAATTTCCTTTTTTCTTCATTGTCAACTTCAGGGGGTATCGACTGTCCTTGATATTGTTCAGTAGGTATTTTAGCATTTTGAACATCACCTTCAGGAAAACGAATAATATCTTCAATGTTCGGTGATACAGGAGTTTTGGGCTCTAAATATGGAATAGTTTAGAGATTGAATACTATTAGCTGAGCGTGTAGAACTACGTTGATTTAATTTGCCTAATTCTACAATATTCAAATTGGAATTCAATGGAATCTAAATGGATGCTTCTTGCTATCAGTGAAACGATTGACCAGAGAAAACGACGCCATTTTGCAAATGTTTTCTCAAGTTAAACTTGATCAGAAAATTGTATTTTTATGTCAGAAAGACGGAGAATTGTGTCTAGATTTTATGCATATGTTGTTTCAAAAATAAGCATGTTCACTTCTTTTACAACAGTAAAAATAATCGAAGATACGAAAATCTCACCTGCTCAACTACACGGTTAGAAAAATTCGAGATGCAATTTTTTCCTCTTAAGTATTTTGCAAACGTTTGATTCAAGGCTTAAAAGACGCAGAATTTTTCGGAGTATCTAGCTGTGTGATACTTCGCCCTATACGCTTATTTGTTACTGTTTCGTAAAACGGAAAACAGCAAAAAGATATCTTTCACCGACAAGGTGGTACTTATTTTGGAAACCTTCTCAAAGTCTTGACTCATAAAAATTATTGTTGTTATATCAAATGATACAGAATTTGAAGCCCTACAAAATGCACTTCTTTCTATATGTAACATCGTTTTGGTAAGGAATGGCAGAGTTTCGGTATCTTCCTTTAGAGAGAATGGCGCCAAACACAAATAATGACCCAATTGTTGTAGCCTGCTTTTACGGCTCTAAAACTTTGTCCAAAAATATGGTGCTGCAATTAACAATTTATTCTTGTCTTTAGTACTGTGTTTGAGTCGCGCGAGTACAACTTCTATGAAGATATAAAATATAGTTTTTTCAGTGAAGTAGTGAGCAGTTGAGATTTTTGAGACTTCCGATATTTTGAGTACACTGAAAAGTCGATTAAGGTATATCTTTACATCTTAATCTAAACACAGCACTAGAAGTTGGAGAAATTTCTGCGACTTTGAAGCTCACAACGAAGCTTCATTTGACTAGCTAAAGTTTGAGTTGCAAAGTGGCGTCATTTTCTCCACCCACCTCATTAATCAGATGTACTACTACTATGGTGATAAAAAGAAGAATTCGGTCTACCTGAATCACTTCTTTTATTTGCTTTATCTGATATAACATGTCCGTGTACTAATTCTTTTAATATTTTGCTGGTATTCATCAGATCAGTGTATGTTCCATGATCAACAATTTCACCATTTGATACAACAATGATTTCATCACATTTATGCAAATGAGTTATGCCATGAGTAACCAGTAAACGAGTCTGAATACGTACAAACAACTACTAATATCTAGAAACATGACAAATACATCAATCAAACATACTTTTCCTGCTAGTAAACCTTTTGGTCCAATAACATGTCGAAATATATGATTTCCAACGTGTGCATCAACAGCTGATAATGGATCGTCAAGTAGATATAAATCAGCATCGTTATAAATACCACGAGCTAATGATACTCTCTGTTTTTGCCCACCAGATAAATTTATACCCTACATAATATGATCGATATGTCCTTAGAGATATTCTAATAGCTCCATTACAACTTTTGGCCCAAAAGACAATTCATCAGGTCGCCGACGCATTGTATGTCGCTAGTTTATCGGAATGTGTCAAATTAGACAACGTAGCGGCTGTTAAAGGATAGAAACCAGCACTTATATCTCACAAAACTAAGTATGAACTCTCAGAAATTCCCAGATCCCAGGTGTATGAAAAAAGAAATATCTATGCACTTCTAATTCAATTAAAATTATGAACTTTCGAAGATTTTGCCGTTCTACGGCACGAGAGTGGCTAACTTTCATAGTTCATAGATAGTTTATGTGCTATCCACTTACAAGGTGCTTGATTTTAAGACAAAAGGAGTATTAAAAAAGAATAAAAAACATTTTTCAAGACTAGTAACAGCTGCTACGCTTTAATCCGTTCAATATTTTTAATCTCCAGCAATTCCGATAAAGTCATTTTCTAAATGTATTTTTCATGGTTGGCGACCTGATGAAATTATAAGATGACAGACAAACATATATTAACTGAGTTTTAGTTAACAAGCTTGATGAGACTTCACCTTTAAAAGTCACATTTGCCATTGAAACGTGTTACCTTTTCTCCAATTTCTGTTTGATCACCATGTGGTAACATATCTAAATCTTGTTTCAATGCACATGAATCAATAACCTGCATATACTCTTTGTCATTTAAATCTTTTCCAAATAAAATATTTTCTCTTAATGTTGAATTCATAATCCATGCATGTTGTGGTACATAAGCTACACGACCATTAACTATTACTTGACCTTCAACTTTATTCATTTCACCTAATATTGAGGATAATATTGACGATTTACCACTACCTACACTGCCGACGATCGCACACAATGAGCCTTTTCGTATACACATGTTGATACTGTAATAGAAAAATAATCTAATCTAAAGCAAAAAAATAATAAACACAAAAACGTATACTTTTTTAATATTAATCCGCGTTGTTCATTTGACGTCCATAAAAATGAACCATTTTCAATTCTAATTACATTTTCATCTGAAAGTTAACATTCGCACTCCAAAATCACATACTAGTTTTTGCATTTATGCATATTTCATACCATCACTGCAAGAAACTCGTTGTACAGCTTCTTCGTCAATTTCTTCGTTTGAAAGAAACTTTGATATACGTTCATCGGATACAAGAGCCTCAAGACGAATAGAAATATATCATTCATCTTAATATTCAAGAACATATTTAGGTATATTATATTTTCCTTTCTTGGAAATGACTTTTGTATCGACTACGTACATCTGCAATGTTAGCGATAATTCCTGGGAGTGCTACTAATGGAACTCTTAACAAATGAAGTAGAGATACAGCCACAAATGCTATTGAAGGGTCCAACACATTATTTTTATTTGATAACACGTAAACGGCAAATGTTGTTATGCAAATCTAAATTATAGAAATAAAGAGAATTAGAGACAGAGAATATTTCTAGAAGTTCGTTAATAACATACCAATATCGGTGTAAATGTCCCAATAAGTGCCGATATAGCGCCAACAATCGCCTTTTTACGAATACATAATAACTCTTTCTCACGTATATCCGATATACGATGAATGAACGCCGGCTCCCAGGCATACAATTTCAATACCTAACAACAGGAAAATCAACAATGAACCTAGTCAGATTAGATTAGTTTAAACACGCAAATCAAGGTTGAGATGGCAAATGTGCGTGACATGACTATTCCGCGTATGTCTCTTCCGCGAACCAACTCTTCCTCGAACAGAACTCCGACTCTTCCGCGAACCAACTCTTCCTCGAACAGAACTCCGACTCTTCCGCGAACCAACTCTTCCTCGAACAGAACTCCGACTCTTCCGCGAATTTTCCTTAATACAACTTTAGGTATTTCTGGGAATGTGTGAGGATAGTGTCAGATGAATTGGAAAAGTATTTTCACATAAAAGATATTGGTATCACATAGTGTGAATTTGCTTCAGCTTTTCAAGTACTTATCTGGTATGTTAGTATTTTATGCTAAAGATATTTTTAAAATTTTTTAACGACTACGTTCACTAATACCTGTTGTTTTGTTAGTTTTCTTAATTTTTATTTACAAAAATTCGCCGAAGAGTCGGGATTGTGTTCGCTGACGAATCAGTTCGCGGAACAGTCGGTGAATCACAAGTGTGTTAGCTTGAAGCTGCCATTTGTCTTTCATGAGCGATAATAATTTAATTTCTTTATTTTAATCAGACCTATTATCTTTTGAATTAAGGTAAGAACTTGCCTTAACACCGTTGAGAATTTCGTTCATCGCTTTAATTCTTTGATCCTTTAAATGCATTTGTTTCGTCTAGAGAAGAGAAAAAGACACAAATGTGACAAACCTAAAACGAAGATAGTCATTCCTTTTTGGTTACCATTAACGTCTTTTGCATTCTTTGCATAAGTATATTAATTGGTATCATACTTAATAATAAAACTACACCGGGTATAATTGAATAACCCATTAGATTATAGAGTAAATAAAGAGCAAGAGTTATCTGCACTGGACCCGACCATAAATCATGAATATGAAATGCCAATTGTTGAAAACATTGAGCATCTATAGTCATCAAATTAACAATTTCACCGGTAGTAGTCGTTTGTTTCGATGAATTTGATAGTTTTAAACTCTAAACACTAAACTTTTTTAAATTTTTAGCAAAAGGTTATATTACCAATTGCCTTTTTCTTCATTATACTTTTCTATAAACGATTCCAGTGATAGCTGAACGAAATCTGAGCCCAACAACAAATTGTCGATGAAAAGAGGCTTGTGAAAATAATGTTTGAGCAAATACAACTAAGCCCAACAGACAAGCATAAAATATACCAAGCCATACAGGTTGTGACGGGTTATGGATAAAATTTAATAATTTTCTTTAAGGAACAAAAAAGACATATATCGCACCGTTCTTTAACGAAAATTAGTCATTTACTACTTTAATATCATTGGTCCACTAAGCTGTAAAATAGTTACAATAAGTTTCAGCAAGCCTCCCGCAATTAGTTTCCCTTTAAAGGCGAGAAATAATGCATGCCAAAACACCGGAGCCTTTTTGTTTATAGTTTTTGAACTTTTTAATTCGACTTTTGGCTAAAAGTCAAGTGATTAATAAGTATAATCGTAAAACAAAATATATTTTTATCCATACCGTATCAGTGAGCTAAAATAAAACAAAACAAAAGTAGCTTAAAACTGGATTATTTTATACTTTTATTATACGTTTTTTCAAAACAAAATAATTCTTAATACCAAGTTTTTGTTAGATTCATCGACATTATTATTAACGCCATTTTTCTTTGTTTTCTGTTTTCTATAGGTAGGACTCTTCAGACGATTGTATGATCTAAAGAAAAATATGAGTATTTGAATTTTAAATGATCAGCATAACTATATTTGTGTCTTTTCACCTATTCCAATAATATTGTAATTTTTCAACAACATTAACTGCTTTTTCTGATAAATGTAAATCCCAACAATCATCTTCTATTAGAGGACGTTTGTAACCTCGAATAACTACTCTTTAACAGAAAAAGACAAGAGAATAATTGGTACCTCAGGCCCAAGAATCAGATAGAAAGATCTTACAAGATCATATCCAACCTCAGAGTATTGTATGATAACAAATCACACGATTTCAAAAGATCTTATAAATTCTTGTTAATTTCCATATAAGATTTCATATGACATATTGTCGCAAGGTTCTTATAAGATTTTACAAGACTTTTCTTAGAATAGGAATGTACAAAATCTTGTACATCTTATAAGACCTTACAGAAAGAAGCTGTAATAATTATAGGACCTTCTAAGAAGTCACAAGATCTTATAAGATCAGATACTTGATCATTTTCCGTCGAATTCCTCTATATCGCTGCAATTTTCTTTTCCATATAATTTCTAACATTCACAGATCCTAGGCGGCCGTATCCAGATCGAATTCGTCCGATCAGATCCCATCGGATCCCTTTAATTATACTCGACCGGATCCGGAGATCGGAATCTGCTCAATTCCTTCGCGTTCCGATATTTGGTTTCTGGAGGATCCGGAGATTGGATCCGATATCCTGAACCTGTCGGATCCGTTAATTGTTGATGAGCGGATTGCCTGTCCATGCCCGTCCGTATCTTTTTCAAGCTTGTCCGTGCCCCTTCAATGCCACAGGAATTCTCGTGCCCGTGCAGATCTCTAATGATCATATATGATTTTGTACGATCGTATTATATGATCCAGAGGACAAATTAGATACTACGATTCATATATGATGTTCATACGGTTTCATACGATTTTGTCTGATTCGGATACGATAGTATACGATTTGTTTGACCTGAGTAGAGATGAGGCAGCGATCGTCTGACAAGAATTCATATGATCGTGTAAGATCTTACATAATCTTGTGGCAGACATCTGTATATTTTCTTGCCACAAGATTATATAAAGATCTTACCAGATCATATGACTTCTTGCCTTAAAATCTTACAATATCTGCTTCTTATAATCACTTCTCGGAAGATCTTACCACAAGAAGTTACAAGATTCCATAAGATTTTACATTATCTTATAGCAAGATCGTGCAAGATCATGTCGTAATATCTTATTACAAGATTTTACAAGAAAATGTCAATTCTTGCAAGGTCTTACAAGAAGTGATTCACACGGGATCGATTGAATTGAAATTTTTACACTTACTTCGTAACCCACCAGAAAGTAATTCGAGATGGAAAACTAACATAGAGTTCGGGACAAATGTTCTAGAAAAAAAGATGCAATCAATAATGTATCGAGAGAATGGTAAGAATAAATTTAAATACTTTTCCAGATGTTTTTCGAAAGTCATGAGGTTCGGCAAAGCAGTTTGCTATAAATAACAGTAATGAGAGTGAAAATTGTATCCAAACACGAGCTAATTCTTTTAATAAAAATCTATCCTGAAACGAAAATATAGATAAAATTAAATTGAGTAAAATAAGAAATTTCAATGACGATCTTCGAATAAGACTTTTTTTCTGAATATTTATGCAGTTAAACTTTTTTTTTTGAACGTATAGATTTGAAGCGCAAACGTTTCTGGTCAAAATGAGACATGAGACAAATGAGACAAAATGAGTTGGTAAAGCCTGCTTCCTGAATTCTGCTCTGGCTATCAATAGAGAGAAGTACTTCCAATACCTCCAGCTTCCCAGAATAAATGGCCATGGATTTCCAAAATGCCCCGATGGAATGCAGCTTTTTGACTGGCCTTCTGGCTCGCACTAGACTGTCAGCGGTCTTCTAATATATCCCTTGAAACACTGACCTAGGGCTGGCCTTCTATTTTGGAAGGGAGGTTTTTTGTATTTTTGAACAAACAATAACGTAAATATCCAAAACTAGGCTCTGTCAACTGGCTACATGTGTTAGCGTCGTTTTGAAGCCAATCCAAACGTCCCAACATTTACCTGGACGGGGAATTTTGGAAAATACGAACAGACTCGTTCTGATCACGGTTGTGGCAACATCTCACGAACTATGATGGATCGAGTCTAAAAAACTTTTGTCGTCATACTTTGACATAGTCATCATTCCTTGAAATTTTTGTAAAGGTCCTACCTATGGTTACTGAGATTACTTACTCGTTTAAATTCGATTGTATAAATGACTAAATCTGGTATAATGGCCACTGTTGATAGTAACCAAAATGAAAATAGTAAACCCGAACAAAACATTCCTTTGGTACGCTCATTGTTCATTAACCATAGACCGTGTAACTAAAAGGTAAAACTATAGATTTGAACATATTGCACGCATTATTAAACGCAGGTATTTACTTACCACTGTAATAATTACAAGTATGGGTGTGATAAACGTAACAAATCCTTGTTCTTGTGTAATTGATCTCGATGGTAAAAAATAATACATAACTCTCAATATTTGGACTAGGATATAAAGTGAGGCTGAGATACATTTTGTAGCAAACAATATCGATATTTTCAATGGTTCTGGCTGTATTTTTCTCTTCTGAAAGAAAAATTATTCCAGATTAACTTAGTAATATTGAAGATTGCACATTAGCAATAAGTATATATTATAACCTGTTATATGACTGGGGCAAAATATACTGAATGACACTATATATAGACAAACCTTGCAGTTATTTCAAAAAGTTTGTCTAGCTGCTTATCAAAACTGAACAAGAAAGCAAGATACCAAAATTCGAATTAATTGATATATCATTGTGCGTTCTGAAATATTTAGTATCTTTTCTGATTGGAACGCAGCAAATCCATAGTTTTTTGTCGGTACAAATGAGAACAATAATAAAAAGCCGCGGCTACATAGAACAAACATAAAACTATATGCATCATTTACCATTAGATGAACAAATAGAAGTATATAGTAAATGTTATACGGACAAAGACAAAAGTACAATAATGTATACTACGAAATAGAGATCAACGAAGGTAGTTTGACCAAACAGTAATTGTATGATAATTTAAAACATAGTTAAATATGAAACTTTTGATTCTCAGATAATGACATTCGTAATACTGAGTACAGAGGTAATGAACAGTTTGTACTACTGACAACAAAACTGTTGTTAGAAAACTGAAAATAAATGAGAATAAACTAGCTGAACTTGTGTTTTCTCGAACAAAAAGGCGTCAGATGGGTTTAAAGGTAGAGTGATCTATACTTGAATGACGAAAACTCAAACAAAATTTTATCAGATTATGAGCACTGTTTGCCTAGTAGTGACTCGTCACAGATACCAAAGTAAGAAAAATACTGTTTGATTGTCTCTTGTCCTTCGTCAGCATTAAACCCCCATCCGTAATAGAAGACCATCCCATAATAGTAGACCATTGCCTACTACAAGATCGGCCTAAGGTTTATGAGTTGCAAGCCGGTATAGAAGATCATGGTCTTTATTTCTGCGGTTTTATTTTTTGAAAACAAATGATTATATGTTTCGAATCAAGAGAAAATTTTTGTGACTTGTCACGCTGAAATAACGCCCTGTTTGGATTGCATATTCGATCGCAAACTTTACTGATCTTTTTCCTTTTTCTTTCTGTAGCTCCGAGGTGACAATGAACATTTAGGGCTTTTCTTGTAAATTCTATAACTTTGCAAAGAAAGGTCGTGTAGAGCTGGGAGATGCCTCGTTGTAATCAGAAATTTATGGACTATAATTACGCCTCATTAAAAGCTTTTGGTTGTTGTTTAGAGTTTCTTGATAACTGGTTTTCCAGAAAACCGATCTTTGAAGGTCTAGCAGCAGCATTCATGATGATATTCGGAATCAGCATCGTCGACTACCTATAGTCCACTCAATTTCGTTGAAAAAGCTGAAGTTCTGGACCAGGCCCGGTTCGGACTGACCGAAGATTAAATTTATCTAGCCCGGCCCGATCAGTTCAGAAAATTTCCTAGTCCGACCCAGTCATTCTTGAAAATTTTCTGGATAAGTTGGCCTTCTTCGTCTCTTATATTACCCCAAAAAGTCCTTGAGCCGGTTCGCCCGAGCTAAAATACTTTTCGGTCCGATTCCGGCCCGACTCGATCACTGTACAAACTGTTCTAGCCCGGCCCGTGCTGATTTTGTTATATATATATATATCTGATAAACTCCTTCCCGTAATTTTGCCTTTTCCTTTCCGTACGACCTTTCTTTGCAAAGTTACAAAATTCACAAGAAAAGCCCTAAATGTTCATGGTCACCTCGGAGCTACAGAAAGAAAAACGAAAAAGGAATTTAGGGCTTTTTTTTGTAAATTCTGTAACTTTGCAAAGAAAGGTCGTGTAGAGCTGGGAGATACCTCGTTTTAATCAGATTTATGGGCTACGATTACGCCTCATTAAGAAAGCTTTTGGTTGTTGTTTAGAGTTTCTCGAAAACTGGTTTTTCAGAAAACCGGCCTTTGAAGGTCTAGCAGCAGCATTCATGGTGATATTCAGAACCAGCATAGTCGACCACCTATAGTCCACTAGATTCCGTTGAAAAAGCGATTTATCAGTTGGGGTACTTCCCTCGTTAGTTGCTTTACATCCGTGATGTGAAAGACAGATGTCAATGTACAATAAAACATAAGATTTTGAAAATAAACACGATGAGAATACACAGCGTCGTGGACAAAACCGTCTCACAGAGAGGAAAGTATAAAATAAAATGATAGTGCATTTAGCAATGACTTCAATGTAGGCATGCACCAGTTATATAACTAGTGTTAGAGCATCCAGGAAAATTATTATAACGCGATTATTAATAATCGCTCAGACTTGCCGAACATCTCATTTTGTAAACAAATGCTTGTTCTATGTATTCGTTGAAATAAAGAAAGTTAAAATTAATTGTGACAAAAATATTAGCAATTCTTAAATGCCGTAACTGTATGTGATAACTGGTCACTAGTTACGTAACTGTTCAGCCTCTTCGGTAATTCATTAATAACGCTTCTCACTTCCAACCTTTAATTTTATCTTTCATACAAATGTATAGAAAAAACATTTGTCTACAAAATGAGATGTTCTGCAAGTCTGAGCGATTATTAATAACCGCGTTATAATAATTTTTCTTGATACCCCAAAAAACAGTCAGAAATAACTGGTCCGTAACCGGTGCATACCTACCTCAATGTATCCATCAAATAATGAACTTACTTTCCATAACATGTACAACCGTAGTGGTAATATAAGCCAGTAAATCATTAGAGGAGCCCATTGCAGAATGGTATTACGAAAACATTCAGATACATTTGGATATGTCGAATTAACTATTTCTGAATCCTAGAAAATCGAAAACATTTGCACAGATAGCATAGAAGACAATTTTTCAATAGAAATATTTACCCAGAACTGTGTATAACATAATTCCGCCATTATTGATATTTGATATAAGCTTTATTCTTCAGAATACAAGCGGAAACGGAAAAATATTCCATTACAGTATTCTAAACTAAAACTATGGAAAAACACAAAATCAATTTTGTACGAATAGAGATTCGAACACATGGACTTAGTTTTGCAGTAAACCAAATCCACTGTTCTGTATCTATATTCTGTACAACGATTGAAGTTGTGCAATCGGCTCAACGTTATCAGTATTAACTTTTTTTGGTATGTTTTTGTGTTCTGATTTTAAATAATTACCGTTTGACTATGTTGAATATCGGAAACCAAACAGATGGAAAAAAGTCAAATTAGTACTGTGCAAGCACAATCGGTTTTAGACAACAGAAGAGTTAATATTATTGATCACACTTTACTCTATTAAATGTTTGTGTTAGACTAGATAAATCTACGTATTAAGACGCACAATGACTAATTTTACATTCATTCATGCAAGAATTAGAATTTCTCAAGGTAATATAGACAGATGATGTTCTCTCATTCTAGTGGCGGAGCCAGGATTTCGGTCTAGGGAAGCTGAACTGCCTATTCATTGTCCGAAACCTGCCTACAGTACTACAAGTTAAAAAATTTAAATTTAAATTAAAAGATTAAAATTTCCTAGGGGAGCGTGAAGGTTTCTAGGAGCTCAGCTTCCCCGGTGGCTCCGCCACTATCTCATCCTAATCAATATATAGATCCTTGAAATCGAGTAACCGTCCTTTAAAATTCGACTTGCCGGACAGAATAGAAGACCTGGTGGTGAATAAAAACTTCAATTCTTACAAATAACAGTTGAAAAAAGAATTTCATTACTATACAAATGGTTTTTTATTAGTCTTTAGTAGCTAGTAACACCGCAATCTTTGTGCGCTACGCAAGACTCTCTATGATCGACGGAAATTAACGCAACACTCTTAGAAAAAATAGCCAATATAGCCTACTTATTACAGAAGCCTTACTTCTAACAGAAATTGAAGAAACTTTACGAATATAACTACCGTACACTACACAAAAGGATTCTTTATGTGATTTATAAATTTCTTTTGCGACAATGAATATTTTTGTATTTTACATAAAACTCTCATAAGAAACATTGTATTAACTATACTTGTACGCAAAAGATGAAAAACGTCAATCGATTAGTTCGTTGTGATCATGCACTCTTCAAAATTTCAATGTTAATTATACCAACTAGTATAGCTGCGAAAAATAGCGATTTTCTTCTCCTATTCACGTTATATATAGTGTGTGCGAACGTTAAAACGTACATTATCAACTATGTTTGGTACTTATGTATGTGTTTAAATATATTGCAAAGTTCACGTCAGTACATTTCGTCATTTCATATAGTTGACATGTTAACGTGTGATAGAATAAAAGAGAAAAGAAAAAAGGCAACGAAAGTGTGTTTTAACGTGCATACACACCATAGTTATATATTATACTATATGGCTATAGTTTATTCACGTTAAACGTGAGTAAAAAACAAAGTACAAAAGAAAAAAGAAAAGAAAAGAAAAGAAAATTATTATTTTTCTTTCATAGATCTAATGAAACCCGACGTGAACCAACCGCCTTTAGTCATCGATGAAAACTGTGGTAAAAATAGCCCAAAAAATTGTGGCTACTTCTTTTCGTTAATTTAAAACTGGAAAATTTTTATTATCAAAAGACAGAACTTCTCTAAAAGTTGTGGACCGGACACTTTTTATCATTTTGCAGTCGACCTCACTGTTATGGTGTCGCTGGGCAACAAGTACATAGAGTAGAGTAAATAAAATAACTCTATTCTAATTAAATATAAACTTAATTATAAAATCTATTGTTCCAGAGTAGTAAACCATGAAAATCTTCATTGGTTAGGCGTTTTCGTTAACACAGCAGTGCACTGTTTTTCGATTACTCTTCTCCCAATCAAACTCAATATCGTGAAATAGCTGTAGTAAGTAGTATTTATGTACAACAGATCACATTGCCACATAAAAGGTAGTGACGACTAAAACCTATGACGTCATCGACCATGTCACATGCTTTTCTTTCTCTAGTCAGCCACGCGTTCTCAGCTCTTCTTAATCGTATAGATTTAGGACAAAGACCAATAGAAAGTCGAACAGCTGTAGATGATACATTTGAAATTAGTCACCGGAAGGAGTCAAGTTAACCTTTCCACAATTTGTTTCAGCAAAATTATCGAAAGATTAATCCGCAAGAAAAATGCAAGATTTGACCAATCAAAATGCAAGGGAAATCTTTTTTCTTATCTTTTTCTAGCAGTAATGAGAAGATGATTGTTAGGGTCTACGTCTATCAGAAAGAGCAGTTAATGTTTCTGAAGCTTTCAGCAGTTGTAAAATTGTCTGTCAACTTGAAAGAGTAGAATATTGATCAATCATCGAACGCAGCTGAAACAACGGCTGAAGGATTGTCAGACTAGGCGGCAGAGGTGGATCACGAGTAACTAATCGAACAAAAACCAATTTCTGGGATACCAATAAGAAAAGATTTAGTTAAAATGGAACAACAGACTGAAAGTATTCTCTCAGTACTCCAATCACATCTAGAAATAGGCAAAAATATATTCCTAAAACAGATAAACAATTAAATGTGGCTATTTGGAAAAATGTTATTCATCGACTCAAGCTTATGAAAAAATTCCTTTATCTGCTCAATCAAAAAAATTCCTTTGAAAATATCTAGCTATAAAAATTACCGGCTCGAGATAGCTAGCGACTAGATATCGTACCCGATATATTGGGTTGAAGAGAAACACTGGTCAGAGTAGCTATTTAGTCGATGTATTGATCAATTATCGCCCGATATATTGACTCATGTATTGATAGCATGAAGGATGCTGTCTTCGTTGCTTATCCGGATGTCTGTATTGCTTTCTATAATATATTACAGAAAGCAATATTTTCCACTAAATGGTCTATTATTGCTCAATATATTGACCTGACATGAATAAAAGCTTAAATATATTTAGTATCTTTTAAAATACACTAAAAAAATAAATTTGTGATTATATGTGTTACATATATAGGTATAGCGCTGCAAAACAAAAAGGTGAGTAGTCCGACCGTCGACTTATCGAGTGATATATTGGACTAGCTAGGTATATCTATAGTAATGTATCGTGTTAGGTAGCTATAACGCCTGATAATAAATAGCTTGATTTTAATTGCTAGCTAGCTAGCTACCTATATCGGGTGGTATACTAAGTTAGCTAGTTATATCGTCCAACAGTCGATACTGTTTTTCTGTTTGAGTGTTCTATACTAACTTTCACTTTTTCTTTCAGTTAGGAAATTTGTTTTTTTTCATATGTAACAATTTTATTTTAGTATAATGTAAAAATGGATATACATCAAATCGAGTAGCTTCGTTTTACGATTATATTTGTTAAAAAACAAAAATGTTATTACAGGTTGAGAAATATCAGGTAACATACTACAGAGAGGATCAGTATTTAATGGCAGTATAGTGAGAAGATCGACAAAGTAAAAAGATATGCTAAAAACTTAGAAAAAAAACCGAATATGATAAATGTCGGTATGTGCAGATTCTACAAGTGACGTATTTCTCAATATTTGAACTATTTTTCTCATCAGAGAAGGTCGAAACAAATTAAAATGTTTTGAAAAACTAATGAATTTAAATTCATTTTACTGTGGGTTTACTTTAAAATGTGTACAAGAGCCAAAAGAGATTGACAATCAACAGCAGAATGTTGAAAAATTAAGAGCACTCAAGTTTTATTGGATAAGGGAACACTTCATTTGAACTTAACAACACTGTTGTAATCGTTCTTTCGCTTTGCAATCAGACAGAACATACACTTTATTACGTTCGTTACGCCGCTGACAATTCACCTTTTCTTTTGTTCTGCCGTTCTCTCTTACGACTATATTCGTCAGATAGCAAAATAAATTCTCTCTGTTCTCCTACGACTAACGACGTAACGAAAACGACGTATTTCGCTACTTACGTTCTTCGGTCCATCATTATATGAGTGACACTCGTCTAGTATTGCATTGGCTTTCTACAGCATTCTTGTATATGAGGAAAGTTCAATTATGTTTATCTGATTGGTAATTGATACGATTGTTGCTCTGATAGGCCATTGTTGCCACCGGTCAGCTCATCTCTCGTCATCGCAACATGTATTTGGATCCACTCCGATCCTTACCTCTTAGTGTAAGTTGTAATAAGCAATCTGTTACTTCGAAGAGAGGCACTCTACAATTAGTTTGTGTTTACACATACCATCTGAGGTGAGTGGTGGAGAAACGAGCAACGGAGGAGAGTAAGAACGGGAGAAGATTTGCGTGCTACTCTTCGATACAGACAGTTGCTTATTACAAGTGAATACCGGCAGTTGTATTTGTCACACATTTACTCAGTGACTATACGTACTCATGAATTTTAACGACTACTCATCCGAGTGAACTGAGTACTCATGCTGACAAGTCGTACTCGCTTTATGAGTACATTCACTAGGGTCTCATCGATAGGATCCTGGTGTTAGTGATCCTCTTTATGGATTAGACACTAGCACTTGTCCTATAATTCAAATGAAAAATTAGAAGCGAACTTGGATAGATGATATGCTGCTCTATATTAATAGAGCATTGTTCTTTTTTTCCCGCTTGGTGAAAATCTTCAAAAGTCACTAGCAAGCGCATCAGACAACGATTGGCTTGTTCATCTATGCCTCGTTTCATATCAGACTGAACGCAGCTGGAGCCCTTCTTTCAGAAAACGAAAAATCAATTTTGTTCCTCTTAATTCTAACGCTGCTATTCATTATTGTTTAGATTTATTTCAGACCACGTTTTTTGTAATATGATCTTTGTTTGAAGATTACTGATTCGATTTTCTGCGGATATTGGACTTGAAAAACAATCCGATGAAAGAAAGAACCACTATAAGTAGTATACTTATGCATGAGTAGTTTATAAAAAGAGAATTGAAAAATGATGTATTCTGCACCCTCCTTCGTCGCATACTTGTTCTGTTGTACATCTGCATCACATGGTGAAGATGTTGGGAAAAGTGAGAAAAATTGGATATTAATTAAACCCTATCCTTTCAGTCTAGGTGGAAAACGGAAAAAGAAATGAGGTTCAAATTAAATGGGCATAAACGAGCATATCGGTTTACAATACTGGAAATAGATTAGCTAAGTCGACTCGATCAGTTTATTACCAAATAGTTCGTTACTGATTTTTCTTATTGAATTTAAGCCATCAAATATACTATCCTGATATCTAATATAATTTCCATATGGTTCAGGTCTTAGTGTCATCCGCGAACCACGTTGATAATTAAAACCTTGTTGATATTTTCCTGTTAACCATCCACCGGCTAATGGACTATAAGGAGTAAAACCATGGCCATACTTAGAGTATATTTGTAACACTTTTTCTGATTCCGAATAATTTAATAATGACATTGAATTTTGTATCCATTCACATCTATTTAAATCAAGATTATCACAAATAGATATGCTTTTTTCTAACTGTTCACAATTGATATTTGACGCACCATATGCACGTATTTTTCCATTTTTTTGTAATTTATTAAAACAACTAAGTGTTTCTTCCAATGGTATTTCTTCATCCATTTCATGTGAAAGATACATATCCAGCTGTTTTATTCCAAGACGCATTAGTGTGCTATCAATTTTTTCTGATATTCTTTCCTTTGATAATCCCTTACTATCGCCAATAATCATTGGATTATACGTTTTTGAACTTAACACTATATTACTTCTAACTTTTTCATCACATTTTTTCAGCAAGTTCCCTATATATGTTCCACTTCTACCAACCCCATAGGCATCAGTCGTATCAAACGTTGTTCCACCAAGACGAACAGTAGCATCAAGAATTCCATGTTCCTATTCTTCATTTTTCCTTGATCAAACAATGAAGGAGTCGAACCATACCACCAAAACAGCCAAAACCGAGAATTACGCGAGATATTTCAATATCTGTGTGTCCAATCCTTTGGACACACAGATATTGATTCCATCATTCGTTTATCTCATCTAAATAAATCATTGCTACTACAGTGATTTCAGCTCATAGATGATCACGTCCGATACAATGAGCAAGTTTTTTCTACAAGAGTTTGATTTATTTATAGTTTTCAGCGCCACTTAAATACCCCTAAAAACTTTGCTGTATAGGAGTATAGAAAGTTCTTAAAAGAGACGCATTGTCAAACTAACAGATATTCGATCCTTACCACATTTCGCACTTAGTCACGTAGAAAACTTGATAACAATAAACTTATATGTGAAAATATAAGTACGGAAGATGAGCAGAATAACGGGTGATGCAAAAGTTCCCGGAAAAATGTCTTTATTTTCTCTTCTTTATCTTCTCCATTTAAAAATCTCTTTATTTTTCTTCTCCTAAAACATGTTTTAGAAAAATGAAAAATAGCTATTCAGAATCTACATTTGAAGAGCTTTCGAACTGTATGTTCAAAAAATTTCTGTCATTTCTGACCTTCGAGCAGTAAGTGTATCTTTGAAGGGGGCGCTAAAATATAGTCTGTAAAGAAAAAAGCTTGTGCACCTTTTTTTGTTTTCGACGGTCAAACTTTGATTTCCATAAGAGATTATAGAGTAGAGTTTTCTCTACAAAATAGACTCTCCGGGATTATTTTGCGGAGCAAAAACCGAGTATCCTTTTAAGTTATCCAAAGTACTAGTTTTTATGAAAAATCGTGTTTTTTCTACACAGAAAACCGAATAACAACTTCTAACCTTTTGTCCTATAATTATCCCATTTAAACACGTCATTTTCCAGATAATAATCGGCTCAAAAACGTATATAGTCAAAATGATTCTAGTAGTTTTACACTTTCCAAAAGCACCATCTGTTCTCTACGTAGATAAAATTTTCTGTGTTTTTCAAAAATTCGCTGCTTGGAAGTCACAGTTGATTAAGAAAATTTAAAATCACGGTGAGAAAGCCCTTCAAATGCAGATTTCGAATAACTGTTTAATTTTTTCTAAAACGTTTTTAGAGCAAGAAAAATGAAATGACATTTGTAAACTATGATAGATTGAAGGTCATTCTCCTGTTCAGACAAAAGGACGGTTTCAAACTCCATAATCTCCCTTAATTTGGCGATTAATTGTTTTCTTAATTAGTATTCATTTAATTTCTCTGGAAAATCTCCTTCAACTAAATGTCTTCGAATCTCAAGAAAATAATCCGCTTGATCTAACGAACCGATTTCTAAATTATACTCGATGATTTCCGATAAAAGCTTAAATACGATTGATGATAAGTTATCTACATCGAGAATCTCATAACCAATCTGATTTAATACTGTTTTTCCACTACTTTTCAGCACATTTTTCATGTAACCAAAAGACTGATAGAGACGACTGGAATTCTTCTTATTTGGCGGTTCTTCTTCTAGTTCTTCGTCTTTAATATTTTGAGCGAAGGACACTTTCTTTTCTAAATCTTGTTCCAGTTGTTTTCTTTTCCTTTTCAATGCATAGTATCTCATCGAAATTGATGCCCGACTGCGCTTCAATTGTGCTTCTCTTGTAATACTTTCTATCTCTTTCAAATTTTCTCTAGTTTTCTGAGCTAATCCACCTTGCCTATAAAATCGGATGTTCTGAAAATTAAGATTCCGAATTGAAACCGATTTGAGCTTTGTTCGTTCTTCAATTCACACACTATTTTCTATAAAGTAGGCAGTGTAATCATTAGAATTTCCTATTCGAAGTAGTACAATTGCATTTCCAGGAATAAAAGAGAGATTTTTTTCTTCGATATTCGGTCGGGAATAATAAAGATCGCAAACTGAATCTAGAAGGTATTTTGCTTCTTTAACAATATTGATTTTCTCAAGGAATTCTTCTTCACAATGAAATTGTTCAATCGTTTTTACTAAAAATAGTTTCGCAGAAAATAAATTACCTCGAACTGAACTTTGAGCATAATATTTGTAGTTTGCAAATGCAATATCATAATAAAGTTTAGCAAGTCTATCTTTGTAACCTAATACTTGACCAGTCTTACAGAATCCCGAAATGAATGACAATATTCATTTATTTCCTCTGCTAATGTTAAAGTTTGTCCTTTAATTCTCCCTAATGTGATTTCTTCCTCTGTATTAAACCGTTCATCTTCTCCTTCTTTACTTTCTTCTACCGAATTCATCACTAGTGACATCTATTACGCAATCAAATTCTTCTAGCAATCAACTATCTTTCTTAAGATATTTCAAACCAGAATAATGTCTCTTCACGTATCATTGATCAGAAATTCTTTAATCTGAACGAGTAATAAACTAATTAGTTCTGATATTTCTTAAACGTTTTCAGATCCGATCCCCAGCACAAACCGTGAAAAGACAATTGGTGTAGATAACAGAAAAGAAAAGCAGAAAAATCCGCCCATTATTTTTTCTCTTAGAACGTGTCTGTGGGCAGTATTATTCTATGAGTATGTTTTCTTCCTTCTTTCACGTGCACATGATTTGCGTAGAAAGATATACCCAGCAAATAATACACAATGGGAGATAAATGCTTTTCTTGTAAGGAAGGTTGATAAGTCAGACATAATCGAGCAGATGGGTTCGTGGAACGCATCTAAACGCATTCATAGGCTGTTTAAACCCAAATGCAGCCGTCCAGTGGTTCTGTTTTACCCTTTTGGGACCGGATTATTTTTTCGAAAAAGAAGAGAACACCGCCGGATAGAACGGCAAATCTGCAGCCGCTCCGAAATTTTTTTGACATAGCCAGCGTGAAAGAGCACATTTTTCTGCACAGGTTTCCACAATTGGTATAGCATTTTATTGAAATTGTCCTAGTAGAAATGGGAGAGTTTCGAAAGGCCCGATACTTGTCCACAAAAGGGAGGGTCACTGTATAGTGTTTTTGAAATATATGATGCGCTTTAACTTTCCGTGATGGTTAATCCTATGGTTGGATGCAGCTTTCTTTCTTCTACAAAACCCATTAGGCACTTAAACCTTTCAGGACCAACTTATCCCTTTCAGAGCCAACTTATTTTGAGCAAAAATTACAAATTTTTCAACTTTTCAAAAATGATTTATTTTTTCCAGATTCATCTAACCCTCTAGCCATATCTAGAGTGAAACTGATGAAGCACGAAAGTGTAAAAAAAGCAGACGCCATGTATACTTCAAAGAGACACGAAAAAAATTCGAATTCTGACGCGTCAGATCACGTGAAATTTCAATGACGTTTTAGAACGTCACCGGTCCCGAAAGGGTTAATGGCAGTATACTGAGAAGATCGACAAAGTAAAAAGATATGCTAAAAACTTAGAAAAAAAACGAATATGATAAATGTCGGTATGTGCAGATTCTACAAGTGACGTATTTCTCAATATTTGAACTATTTTTCTCATCAGAGAAGGTCGAAACAAATTAAAATGTTTTGAAAAACTAATGAATTTAAATTCATTTTACTGTGAGTTTACTTTAAAATGTGTACAGCGTTACGGACTTACGCTTTTTTTTAGTTCGTAGCAATTTTTTCTGTAACGGAAGATGCTGTGAGAACCGTTCTTGCGTCAGCTGATAGAGCTCGGTGAGTTCTATTTGCAACCAACATATTGTGGGTTTCAGCCAAGTGGTACGGTTTTTATACAAATAATATTGAGCGTTATGGACTTACAAAAAATAGAAGTGAATGTAGAGCAGAGCAAAAACAGATAATAAGCTTAGCGAATAATGAGGTTCTTTCAAAAAAACCTTTTCGTAGCAAATGTAGCTGAGAATTAAGCCTAAATAAAGCAAAAAAAGATTTGTCTCGAAAGTGTTTAGGCTGGCAGCTACATCAAAAACAAATACGTTACGAACTTACGTTTCATTATGGACTTACAGTTTTTTTTGGTTCTTTCAGAAGGTTAAACTCCATTACAAAAGCCGTTATAGACAAATATTTCCGATAGCAGTAGACAGTATCTGATCTGATCTTTCCGATGCACCGTAGAAAAACGTTTTGAAATCGTTTTGACTTGGAGAAAAAACCGTTTTAAAACTTAGTCTTTCGAAAAACCAACTTTCTTGGAAAGCACCTAAACTCCAAAATAAATACACCATCTTGTAGAGAATTCTCTACAAAATGCCATATCTCTTAATTTTTTCGCGAAAATATCTAGGTCAGGAAATTAAAAATAAAATTTGCATTCCATTTTTTGAGGTCAAAATTTAATTTTTTAGAAATTTTAAGTTGATATTCAATATCAGCTTTAAAAACTACGTTAGACGATGTGCTTCATAAATTCTTAAAGTTAAAAAAAAATGTTCGAACCATCTTAAGTGAAGGTGACCGTTAGCTGGACAGGCTGCACAGTTGACTTGGGTAAAAATAAAATCACAAACATTATGCTTCTATTTCATAAGAAGGAAAAACTAAAAAAATGAAACTATCTCCAAATCATTTTTTTATGACTTTTCCAGCTTTTCTTGGTCTCAGATTATACATTTTGGCACGCATCAGGCAAAACTGGCTGTTTTTTCAAATACTCTTCCTGACATTTTCCCTATCCATTTTTAATTGTTGGTAGCCATTGTTGATATACGGGTTGTTTCATACTATACCTATCGTTGGCCAATCGGTAAACTGTTTCTAGCCTTTTTCTTCTGTACTTATTTCTTTCTTCATGGAAGATAACAGCAAAGTCAAAAGGGATATTGCAATGATCAACTGATATACTATGTTGAACTAATTTTGATGATAGTCTTTTTGTTGAATCTATTAAAATATTATCTACTGAAGTCTGAATTTATCTGTCATCCCTCTTTCTTATCATCCATCTTATCATTCCTATTATTTGCAGTAAGAACTCCATTTGCCATGTTACTAATAATATAGCTTTTGATCGTATTATTATCGTCTGATCTAAAATTTAATACAGATTGTACAGTGGTAGGTTTTTTGATACCACGTAGTGGATAATAAACGTTCATTTATATTCATTTTCAATAAGACATCGAGAAAAGCTAATTCAAAACCTTTTTCAAATTCCATTAGCGCAAAATCGACTTTTTATACGGAGGACAGAATCGGTTCAAAATTTTTTCCTGAAGAGCTTATTATATTAATAGACGGTCAGCAAAATATAAAATTATTAAAAAAACATTTTTGGCCAC